GTTACGTCGACCTGCATCGAAAAGGAGTTACTGGATTTTATCGAGGACTCGGCGGTTGTATTGACCCTTTATCCCTTACAGGCGCCGCAGCTCATCTATAAAGAACTCACGTCACCTGCTTTTCGAGCGCAGGCAGAACAATTGGCTGTGCGTCCATGGATTCGCGCTGATCGAATCGATCAAGCGGTGGACAAACTTGGTAAGCGGCACTTAGCTGTCTCCGTACGTTCAAGTGTGACAATGGACATTCAAGCCAGCTGTGTTGCTGAAAAGTCCGGCATTGCTTTTCTTCACAAAGCAGCAAACCGGATCGACGTTATCCAAACGTTTGATTTGCGAACAGTCGGAGAAATATTCATTGTTGATCAACCGAATTTCGTAGTTAACAGGATGCTCTGCGATCGTTTCGGCAAATTGCTGGTTTTAGTGTATGAAACCGGTCACGTTGAAGTTATGCAGATAGATTACAATGAGGTTGGGTTTGTCCTGAGAGCCAGTTCTGTTCACTCGGGAATGTGTCGAACTGGCAGATTTGGAGCACTGGCCATTAGCATCTCGCAAGACGAAGTCGTCTACCAGTCCAACACAGGTCACATCGTGACCGTCAACTTAGACGTTGATGGCAGAATCTCATTCCTCGAATCTCCATGTCTCGACAAAGTTCTTATAGAAATCTTTGCTTCCAATGTTCGATGTCTACTCTGGCGTGTGGGTCGGGAGTTCCTACTGACATTTGAGGAGACATCGACACCGGTATTACGTTTGGCCTATCGAGCGCTCGCCGCTTGCCAGTTCGGTCGTATGCTTGCGGTGTCGACAGAGGACGCGAAATTGTCGATTTATCAATGGCCCGATCTGACACTTCACGCGACAATATCTACTCGTCTCCCTATCCTTTCGATGAGTCCAATAAACTCCCCATGCGTCTTAATGACTGACCGTCACGGCAACATTCTCTTGCTGGATCAAGAGCTCCAATTAGTAGATCACGGACGATGTACTCGTGAGCCGATTGATGACTACCCATCAGCAATATACTCCACCAATGGAGACGGGTTTTACGTCTCAAACAACCGCTGCGCAGCTATTACAATCAGCAAATCGCACGCAAGTGACGATATAGTGGCGGTTGACGGCGACGACAAAAGCGTCTCTCTGTTGACATACAGTCGATCTAGTGGATTTGCAATTTCAATCTGTGGCAAAGAACCAAGATCGCTTCAACAATCAATCGTTGGCCAACAGTATGAGTTTGAATACAACAACTTCCGGATATCTTGGAACAAGAAGGGCGCAGTGGCGTACACAAAATATAACAACGAAGTTGCAATAGAAATGGGGAATTACTCCAGTTCTATGACAACTGCGGACAGAATTGTCAGCATCAGGTATTCAGAAGCTGCCAGTATATTTCTCGTGCTCAGCTGCACTGGGTTCCTACAGTTCTTTCGAGTCGATGGCAAAACCTCGTCATCGATTCAGCTGGCGACCAGCAGCACGGGGCATTATCTAATGGAGGTTTGTGGACAACATATCTGTACCTTGGCACGCAATGTTGGCGTTCAAACTAAGGCTGCCAATAGGTACAATGAGTCCATTCTGTCAATTCATCGCCTCCGTCGAGACAGTGAGTCATTAGAGGCGGAGCTAGTGTACCTTCAGCACATTAACAATCGACAATCACCGATTTTTGGTCTTTCGTACAACACAACGAGCAACAGCCTGTATCTTAATCGGCCAGGGATGTTGGAACGCTGGCAGCTGGATAACCCCACGCAACCGGAAATCACCCAAGTCGCCATGAGTGGAGACTATAGTGCGACAAGGCAAATTACTGCTCACCACCAAGGTGCTTTCTATGTCAACCTTGATAACCAGTTGAAGTACCAGCCGATCAATTCCGGGAAACCTGTGACGGAATTAACCAGTTTCCGAACTATAACCTTTTTGGTACCCAGAATGGCAGAATGCGGTTACTTTGTGGAGAACAATACAATTGTTTATCGTTTTACCCTCGAGCAATAGTACGTCTGCGAAGGAGGAGATATGTCAAACTTTTCCATCATGGATCTTGAACTACTTTTTCGAAGTTGTGTGCATGCCGAAAAAGATTTGCAAGAAGCCGAAAGACACTTACAGGTAGCCCAGGAAAGATATTCCCAGGCTCTGAGGAAATTTTTGCACACTCCTAGCGTTTCCGAAAACATGAACCGAGCCATCCTTGAATCAAAGCGATTGCAACGAAATGAAAGTAGGTCTAGACGAAACTCTGCTCAAGCCCATTTGGGTATGCTGCGTATGCAAACAATGACTGAACTTTGCGCACTATCCAATGAATACTCAGAAGATAAATTACTCAAGTCTCTCCGAAACTTGGCTCTTAGATGGAACAGACAACTCGGACTGCAAATTGCTTTAAGCGTGTTAATACTTGCCTCGGTGGGAATTGTAGTTTCATTGCTTTTTAACTCCCTGTATTTGTATTCGATACTGTGCTTAGTGGTCATAATAGCACTCTCGTTTTTATCATTTCGAATCGGTTCCAGAAGAAGAGAACTTTCAGGCATTTTTCATCAGCACGTCTCATCATATCTGTCGAGAGAGACGCAGCATGAGCCTCGGGCAGTGAAACTAAATGACGTAGAAGTAGGAGTTTCGCCATCCAACTTGTTGATGACTCCTGAGTATCAACATTTTGATAAAATGTTTCGTTCCAGCCTTGTAGAGAAGGACCGTGGTGCCCTCACGTCTGCGTTGCGATTAAGGCAGGAAGCCACTGCCTTGGTCGAGCACACACCGATGCTTTACAGCTTAGGAAAACACAATGAAATGATAATAGAGTACAACCATATCGGGTGGGGCCTCGAGTCGCGCATTTCGGCACTAGAAAGCATTAAGCACGAAGCGGAGTTCAAGAGCATCTCTCTCGAATTGTTCCCGATGTTTCAAACAAACTTTCTACGGGAGAGCCTTGAGTTTCTAGTTTGTAGCGCGACTTCCTACGAAGAAGCTCTTCAATACAGTGAAAGACTGAACACCCTGGATCCGAACCCTACCAGCCAACGTCGCCACAAGCAAATCAAAGAGATGCAAAAGAAGTCCAGCCGCTGGTATTCATCTCAACGTGCGATGCTCAACAGTCTTTATAGTCGAGTAAGCCCGGAGTTTGACGCAGGGCGTTATGCCGCTGGACTTGCCACTATTGATGTGATTCTCGCGAATGCTGATAAAGTCGGCTATAAGCTTGATCGAGAGGAATATGCGGATTTGTTAGATGACATGTGTGCAATTGCAATCCAATTATTCATGGAGAAGATGACGTTGCGTCCGAACGGACGCTTGCCATCGGACGATGCCAGCGAACTCGGCTGCATCTTCAAAAAACCGCTGATGTATTTGGCGGATTTTTTCCCGGAATGCTCACCTAGGAATCGAGATACCTTTTACAGCCATTACCAGACATTCGCCAATATCCCATGGATTGATAGTATGCCGGAATGGAATAGAGTCAGCGAGTTATTGAAGTAGACGTGAGCGCTTGCGTGTTGTTTATAGTCTCGGTTGCAATTGTAGATTGGTAGGTTTTGGCAGTACTCCCTCACGGAGCTGAAGTCCAATCCCTCCTCCCAGACACTTGGCTCCATTCCCATTCAGAACACCGCTTACCATCGCCGAACGAAGAAAACGAGAACGAGAAACCAAGCCCAACAACCTGTAGACCACCGTATGCTTACGCTATCGGAAAACGCTCACCGCTTGAGGTTTTCAATTTAGCTAATACGGCGTTAGGTCTTAAAGTACAGCCAGGATAAAAATGCCGCAAGAGCCAGCAGCACTAGGCAACCGGCAAGGTTGGGGGCAGGGTCGGTTCGATCTGGCGGACGATGTGGCTCTGAGGCTCGCCATCGACATCCGCAGCGCCCGCATTGATTTAAATCATATGACATCCACGCGCTTGCCGAGTAGTCAGCGCCACAGTTCGGGCATACGAAGCCTTGGCTTCTATTCATAATGCATCTTCAATGATGATGGAGCGGTGAATGCTGAAACTATGAGGAGGTCGAGCTGGGTGGTTTTCTTTGGTGCGTGTAAAACTTGTTTATCGAACGATTCCAAATAAAATCCACATAAAAATAGACCACCATGAAATTTGTTGCCACCGAACTCCAAAAACAGTCTATCAGCTTGTGAGTAATGAATCAAAACAGAGAGATCCTGGATCGAGGGAGGGGTGGCATTTTCGAGTAATTTGGGTGCCATGCTCTCACAGCAACTTGCGGTGAGCATGCCGATCGCAAGTTGGGAAAATATTCGCAAGATTTTATCGATTTTTTGGGAAGAATTGACACGGTCGATTTGACGGCGAATAGGCAGATTGTGATCTTCAGTTGTCAAGCCCCCTATGGAGGTGCCAGTGTTTGGGTTGAACTTGCCAATCGTTGTCTTACATCCTATCAAGTTGGGTTTTACAAGCTCAACGTTAAAGGTTGGGATGCGCTACGAAACTCGGTTTTTTGAAGCGAATCCTGATTAATTTCCAGCTTCACCCTGTTGGCATTACGCCAACGGGGAATATTGTTTGCGCAGAGTGGGTCAGGAGGCGATCGAATCCTCATTACTTGGTCTTCAGCCAGGTGCTTTACCGTTTAAGCTACCGACCCGTTCGGAGAGGCTTTTCCAAAAAGAAAAGCCCGATGCTTGTGACACCGGGCTTTGGAGAGCGAATCCTGTTATTGCCAAGTGTCACAGCCGAAATATGGGCGCACATGTTCCATCATTCAACGAGCCTAAATACTCGCGTTGACTGAGGAGTTTTGCACCACTCGGTTCGCCATGGATACTTGACATGAACAAAGACATCGAACTTGAAACTCCAGTATGTAGAGATTTGTTTTTTGTTGTGTGATTAGCGGCTGGTCTTCCCCAGCCTCAAACCAAAGACGCAGCAAGCCTTCAAATGGTTCATCGTTTTTCGAACTTTTTTGACAAAGAACGCGAATTCACTTTTTCAGCAATGCTGCATCCAAATGCTCACACTCGGCGTCCCAGTTGAGTTTTGCCTGCAATCCAGTCTTTTTTAGGCGTTCGTAAAACGCAGGGTCGAAATCGTATGGAGGTTGCCGGCACGTGAAGAGTGAATTCTTCAGTACACTTGATCGTAGCATGACGCAGCCGAACCCATTCCCTTCGATAGTCTTAACACTCTCTCCTCGCTCTTTGAGAATCTGATGACCTTCAGACCAGGCAACATAGCCATCATGAAATCGAGAGCGATATGGTCCGGCGACCGAACCTGTGTTCTGATCAAATCCCCGCAGCAGCGACTCGGCTGCATTGTCGGGTGGAATGACATCATCTTCGACCACCCAGACGAAGTTGGTCGTCATCTGACGAGCCAGATGATTGTATATCCGTGCTGCAGCCAGGCGGACCGCATCCTGAATCTCAACGCGACCACAACGTTCTTCATCTGCCAAGCCCGGTGCGCCGACCGACAATTGCTCATATTTGAAGTGTGGATAGTCACAGTCTGACAACCACGATTTGACGAGTTGGGAGTATTCAGGATTCTGGCTGGTGTCGAGCAAGAACAGTTTTGTCTGCTCACGCGGCCATGTTTGCGACTCGAGGAACTCCCGAAACCTCGGCCAGACTGCCGATCTTCCGGAGAGTGCTACAAACAGTGTGATCGTTTCCAGATCGAGGCAGCGCAGGCGATAGTATGGATTCTCATCCCACGACTTGGTAAGTGAGATTTCCTGAGGATGACGCCGATAGGAATAGAGTGCCGGTTGTTTCTTCGCTTTCCAGCCTTGAGCCAGGACCGTTCGCCAAAGTGCCCAGTCTTCATGTCCAACCTTGGGATTCACTGGTACGGCAAATGCTTGGCTCATTTCCAATGCTTCGCGACGCACGAGCGAGGCACAGTGAATGATATTCTTCTGGCAGATTTCTTCGCTGGTGACACTCTCAGGAAACCCAGTGACAACATCTTCTGTCCCGAACCGGATCATGTCGGAATAAACGACTCCGATATCGTGCTGATCAAACTGCATCATCCCGGAACGGAGATAGTCAGGAGTCAACAAATCATCTGCATCGACGAAACAAAGCACGTCAGACTTTGTGGCTTCCATCCCAGCCTGTCGCGTGAGCCGCACATTCTCGTGATCAACTCGCAAATACTGAACACCCCAGTCGGACCAGTGCTTGACCACGTCCTCGGTGTCATCGGTTGAGGCATCGTCGACCACCAGAATCTCTTCCGGTCGTCGACTCTGATGGACAACGCTTTTCAGGCAATCTTCAAGATAGTGCGCATAGTTATGGCACGGTATCACGACAGCGACTGACATGGTCCTGGGAGGGATTCGTCGCGAGCTGGTTTTTGCACTCTTCCGACACCAGAGTGCCACAGCGGTCGCTTCTTCCGTCAGCAGTTCGACATCCCGCCAACCGCAGTCGCTCAGCATCCGAATCAATTCCGATCGTGTTGGCCGAAACGAGCGTGAGCGAATTCCCCCAATCTGGTCGGCTGGATTTTCCGTCACGAACCTTCCCGAATAGCTGCCTTGCTCCGCATCACTATCGTCTACCACGTAGGTCCAGAGCAACATCTCCGGTGCGATTGCCGCAAGTTGCCTCAACATTCTTTCCGGATTGGCCATGTGATACAGCAAGCCGACATTGTGGATGGCATCAAATGTTCCCAGCGATTCGAGATCACAAGCTTCGAGATCCATTTCCAGAAACGTGACGTTGTGAACATTTCGTTGCTGCTGAATGAATCGTGCCCGTTGGAGATGCTCTCTGCGGACATCAACACCGACCACATGGCCAACTCGGCGGGCCAGAGAAAACGTCCGACCGCCTTCCATACAGCCCAGTTCCAGGATGCGATCGGCATACGGCAGACGTTCCCGGAACTGCCTCAACAGCAGTTCGTTTTCGCTGACTTCGTAAGATCCGCCAATCGCCTTTCCGTTCAGCTGAAATCGCGTGGTCCAGGGACCAAGGCGTTCGATCTCTCGCTGCAGTTCCGCTTCTTCAGAGACCAGTTTCGTCATGGCATAAACCTGTAAGGGCTGTCGGATACATCGGACCAGTTCGAGATGACGTCCGAAAGTGACCGCGTTTCATTCTTAGCGACCATCTGTTCAAGCTTTTGCATAGTGACTCCGAGGAATCGCTGACACTCATTAATCGTCTCCTCCCAGGAATCACAAAGGGATTCGTACGTGATCGAGAGAATTGAATGGCCCTGCAGATAACTCAGCCGCCATTCAAACAGCGAGCGATTCCATTCGTGGAACCAGCGGAGAGCCTCCGGATCGATATAGACCTGAGGACGCTGCGCCAGTTTCTGCTGAGGTCCCCACATGCCAGTGACCTGAGCGATTTTCCAGGAAGCAAACTGGGCCAGGACATCCAGTCGGCGCAGATGAATGATCTTGATCGTCGCGTCTGCGGCAAGAGCATCCCAGGCAGGTTCCCAATCTCGCCAGTCCGCATACTTTCGATCCGGTTGAAACGCATGCAGATTAAAGCCGACTGCTTTGGCTTTCGGGTGAGTCAAAGCCTTTCTCAATCGCTGGCCACCTTTTTGAGGCAACTTGTGTCCCTGAATGTGGTTGAAAATCTCCCGATGCATGAAGATGTCAGGATGCTGACGGAGTGAGGTGTTCAGCAGACTTGATCCCGTCCGCGGTTGGCAGAGAATAACAAATCTCGTTTGCTCCGATTTCGAAGGCTGCTTCAACGCATTGGCGAGCGCGAACTGACTCATCATCAAGCCTGTTCAATGAACTGAGCCGTTGGCCGTTGAGAATGCCCACCCTGAGATTGTGTCCAGAAGAAGACAGTCAGCGTTTTCCGGGTCTCCGGCCCGGTCACTTCCGAAACCGCGTGATAGGAAACATCCGATGGCTGAAACAAAACCAGTTGATTGAACTTGGGAGTAATGCGTTTTTCGCAATGAGTGCCCGTCGCATCGTAGAGTTCGAAATGGCCACCCCATTCCTGCTCCCAGTGACTGTTAAGATAAAACACCGCGTTGCACGCTCGTTTCCAGCCTGTGTTCGGGTGATGGTCGCTGTCGAGATGTCTTCCCAGTGAACTGCCAGGTGGCATGCCGTGGAGACCGGAGGCGTGGCAGTTCCAGTCACCGAAGGCATTTTCGATCCCCAGCAGTTCCGCGATTGGTAGGCAGAGCATTCGCCGGATCAATTCGCTGCACGCGGGTGGAATCCGCAGTGGATCCTTGGTGGTTAGTTTTCCGTTGTCATAGCGATGCCAGAATGGCCAATGATCGTCTGGCCATTCTGCTTCAGCAGCGCGGACCAACTCAGGTGGCGCCCAGTTCTCGATAATCTCATGACGAAACGGTCGATCAAAATACCAGTCGTCGAAATCAGTGCTTTCACTCTTTGCGGTAATCGTGGACATACTTGTAGCGTTCGGGATCAGGAATGGTTCCGCCGGCGACCGAGACGATCGACGGAACAGTCACCAGGGCATAACCCGCTGCCAGCATGCGGCGGGAGAGATCAACATCACAAAACTCAAACGGAAACCGGTGGGAGAACCCGATTTTACGGAGTGTTTCGGTCCGTGCTGACCAGACGCCGCCCTGAACATGTATTTGCGGTTCAGTGATGTCTTCGGGAACTGCGGCAACACAGTTGAATTCACACGGATGAACATGACCGGCCAGTCCAACCTGTGGATCAATCAGGGGAGCGATCAGATCCTCGATCCAGGTCGGATCGTTCTGCAGGCCGTGTGAGGCGCAGAGATAAACGAATGCGTCGCAGTTCGCGTGCTGGACCGCTTTCGCCAGGCCGCCACCGATGTAGATGTTGTATCCCTCGTTCCAGAGATAGTGGACCCGTTGATCACCGTTTGTGATTTGCTGGGCTTCTCTGGAGGGAGTTGGCCCATTGTCAATGATCAGCAGTTCCCCGGACAGTTCGCACGCCTCCAGAGCGCTGAGACTTTGCTGCAAGATTCTCCCGGTGATCGACCAGTCTGGTTCATAAATGACGGTCGCAAGTGAGACGTTCATTCATCCTCTATCTGCGGTGAGTACATGTCGGGGTTGTAAACATCTTCCAGACCGTCGTAGGCCACGCAGGCGGACTGCTCGAAATCGAACATTCGCCCCGGCCAGGCTTCGGCACCCCAACCCGTCGGTTGCCAGACGTCCCGCCACTTCGAGGTCGCAAACACAGCTGCGTTACGAAACCAGAAAAACGTCCCTGCAAAATGCCACGACGACGATGATTGGCCGTCTGGATAGATGTGGTGATTCTCGTTGTGCTGCCGACGATGCGTCCCCACGATCGCGGAATCAATCAGCAGTTCATCGATCCGAGACCAGTCATCCAGGAGTTCGTGATACATGGCATTCCGCCAGTAGCGGGAACCTTTAGGATCACCAAGACAGCAGACATCTTTGCCAACACCTTTGGCGTGAGCGTAAAACGTGGCGGTGTGTGGATCGGGATCTGCAACGGACTCCAGCAATGGCAGAAATGTGGCATTCTCTCTCAATTGGGCGGAATTCGGTCGCGTAATGACCTCGACTTGGTGACTTCCAAACGCAGCCTGAACCTGATCGGGAGCAACCAGTCCTTCACCTGTCGCCACTGCGATCACTCGTTTGCCGTTAAACAGGTCCATCCGCTTGAGGAGTTGGCGAACATTCCGCAGCCAAATGTCGTTCGATGCAAACGGAGTGATGTGATAAAGCAGATTCCGTGTTGTGATGCCACTTTTCGGTTGTGCAATGTTCTGTAAATGCTGACATTCGCAAGTCCAGTCAACGAGTCGCTTCCAGTGATCACCAAGTACGCGAAAGAATCGAACATCGAAACAGGACTCTCCCGGTGGCAGACAGAATGGTTGCTGTTTTAGGACTTCCGATCTCAGAACGATGCACCCAAATCCGCTACCTCGGATTTCTTGTACTTGCGGGCGATCAGGCAGTGGTCGGCAGAGTTGATGGACTCCAGCAGATCCGTGTCGCTCACGAGACCAGACAAGAAAATGTCCATCAAAGCGAGATCGATACGGTGCTGAGACTGATGCGGCATTTTCATCAAATGACTTCAGCAACCGCGACAGAATATCGACCGGCGGAATAATGTCATCTTCCAGAATCCAGACGTACTCGGTTGTCAGTTCCTCGCGGAGTCGATTGTAGATCCGGCACATCTGCTCGTTGACAGAAATCAACTGCTTTTCGCGCGGCAGGTCGGCCAATCCTGGCTTGTCGGACGGGAGACAGATGTGACGTACGTCAGAATAGTCAGACGTCGCAATCCACGTGCGGACCGCTTGTGAAAACGACTCGTCACCACTTGTGTCGCACAGAATCAGTTTCAGCTGTTGGCGTGGCCACGTCTGGGATTCCAGGAACGTTGCCAATTTCGGCCAGAGATGCCTGCGTCCCGAAAGTGGAATGAACAGCGTGACAGTTTCCGGTGCGAGATGTTGGCGTTCAAAGTACGACTCGATGCGGGTGCTGTTGAGATAAACGATTCCTGGATGTTTGCGAAGTCGCCATCCTGATCGGGACAAATGACGGAGCAGGATATCCAGTGGCCCGCCCTGATCATTCACGGCACTGAGGGCTTCTCGACGGACCAGAATCGTCGGTGCAGCAATTCCCGATCGGGACAATCCACTGGCTGAGAGTTCGTCTGGATAATTCGTTTTCGCTCCTGTACTGACCAGTTCATGGTCTGAATAGACTGCGCCGACTCCACTTTCATTGATCTTCTCTGCGGCGAATCTCAACCAGTCGGAGCCGAGCAACGTGTTTGGTGAGACGAGACAGACCAGGTCGTGTTCTGCATCGAGGGGACATTTTGCGAAGCGGACATTGCGTTGCCGATATCGTTTGAGAATTTTTCGGAGACGGCGATTTGTTGTCCCAGTGATCACGATTTCAGCTGGGTTTTGACTAAGCAGATTGACCAGCAGTGGTTTGAGTGTCTGCAACTTGGCATTTTGAATGACAATTGAAATCGGCGGAGTTGGAGTCGCAATAGGTTCAGCGATGGGAAGAGATTGATCAGCCGGAACTTCGGGCTCGCTGCTGAGCAACTTCAGAATTTCTGGTTTCAAATGCTGTAACTGTTGGCGTAATTCAGCAGTCAGCTTTCGACGAGGAGCGTAAGCAATGCTGTCTCCACGTCGCTGGATCTGAATGCCACTCTGATCAAGTTCCTGAAGCAACTCGACAGCGTTCACACCGTTCCCCATTGATTGCCATCGCTCAGGTTGCTGATCCGGACCAGTCCCCAGCGGAGGTTGCCGTAATACCCGTAGCCGTATCCATACCCGCCGTAGCCACCCGAACCTGGTGGTTCTTTCCAGAGAATGAAAGCACTGCCGGCGTTGTCGGTTTTCAGGGAATCAGTCTCATCCTGCTCGACGTCAGCCCATTCATGCTCTTCGTCGAGAACGTTCAGCCGTATGGGTGTGATGCCACTCAGCAGGCCGCGACCAATCATTCCGGCACGAAGTGGCTCCTGCAGCACGATGAATCGGCCATAGTGCTCGGCCTCGTCAGGTTTGACGCCAATGATTGCCAGCTGGTTTTGAAAGCTGAGCAAATTTTCTGACGGCAAAATAATCGGCCGATCAATTCCCAGCACTTCGAACCGGCTGAGATCATCACCAGAGCCGTTTTTGACCAAAACCATTCCCACAAAGCTCTCCCCACCTAATCGTGAGTGGGACTTAAGGCAATGTTCTCGCTCGAAAGTCTTTCGCCGCATCGATGAATGTGTTGAATGTCTCCGCCGGAATGCGGAGCGGATCACCACGTTGAACTTTCTTGAACGGGTCTCCCATCTGTTAGACCCCGATTCCAAGTCCCGCGAAGTTCGTGTAGGGATAGACCTGTTCCACGTAAACTGAAAGCGGGCGTTTCACCAGCATCTTGGCATCGGGATCTTCGACATCGGCATACCGAATCCAGAGATAATCCCAGCCTCGTTTGACGATGCCAGTGATGTCGCCAACCTGCAGTCCCTGCACATTCGGACTGGCTGCAAACCGGTAGGAGATTTCCCAGTCTTCCTGACCTCGCAATGAACCCGCTGCGCCCAGGAAAAGTACTTCGCCTGGGGCAAACCCGCGAAACGGCCCGTTGTTGACTGTCCCAGTCAGGTAAAACAGCGTCGCTTTGTACGCGCCGGTCACCAGGGCGGCGTCGATGTAGTGCGTTTCGCTGAAGTTGTAGACCGGAACGGTGATGTCGACTCCTTCAAC